GCTCCAGCGTGTGGTCCCTCACACAGGAGACAATCCTCCATGAACTTCTCTAATGTGAGTCCTAAGCATAGGCTGCAGTTCTTTACAAACTGCTCCAGCTTGCATCCCTTCCACAGGGTGCAGTCCTTCAGGAGCATGCTGCTCCAGCATGAGTCCCCCGTGGGGTCACAAGTCCTGCAACAAACCTGCTCCAGCATAGGCTCCTCTCTGCTCCGGTGCCTGAGGCAGCTACTCCCCTCCTTCTTCACTGACTCTGGTGTCTGTAGAGCTGCTTCTGCAGCTCTTTATCTCAGAGCTGTTTTGGGTTTTCTCCCCCTCTTTCTTAACTATGTTATCCCAGACGCACTCCCACCATCACTGATGGGCTTGTTCTGGGCCAGCAGTGGGTCCATCTTGGAGCTCACATGGGCCCTCTTGGGCATAGGGGAAGCTTCTAGCTTCTAGCAACCTTGCCACACAAACCTAATATATAGAATCAAAGAATCATAGAATCATAGAATGGTTTGGGTTGCAAAGGACCTTAAGATCATCTCATTCCAACCCCCCTGCCATGAGCATCTATATACAGATCTCTTTTCTTGAACATGGTGCACTTGTCTCATCTAGATATGTATCGGTGTGAGAGTTTCGTGTGTAAAAAGTAGAGCTGTAATGCAATCGAGGACGTTTTTGTTTGGGAAGATGGAGATAAAGTGAGCTTTCTCTGCCAGGGCTCTGAGTTAGCTAAATTCAGGTCACCCATTCAGCCACATTCAGACAGTATTGTCAGGAGGTATTATGCCATGCTTTCAGCCTTGTTAGCATGGGTTTACAGCTTATGGTGGGAGCTATCTTCCGTGCTCAAAGCATGAACAGGGCAATGCTGGGTGCCCTCACTCTGACCTAAGCAGAGTTGCTTTCAGATAGGTGGATGGATTTGTAAAAAAAAAAAAGCAAGGGCTGGCCCTGAATCCAAACAATATGGATTGTTTGAAGAAGCATCTGCATCTTTGGTTTATGTTCAGAGCTGGATCCTGTGTTTTGTGCAGCTGATATAGGAACTGTGCTGAGTGTGCGCATATATGTGTGTGTACAACACTGTTTTCTGCAGCACTACATCTGCAGTTGCTGACTGTGCTCTACTGAGGTATTCATAGCATAATGGGTTGCAGTTTAGTGGAAGAATATTTCAGGAAGCATCTACTGAAGTGAGAGAAACCTTTGCCTATGGGACAGGCAGTTCTCACTGGGTAGTGCTTAGGCCTTAGCAGAACACGCAAGCTTGGAACACCATTCCTGTATCAGGGAGAAAGGATGTCGTGGCTTGGTGAGTTAGTCAGGTGCATGTTGTGATCCCAAGTTAATCTTATCCTGATTTTGATATTGCCATCTGTGTTTCTACCTCTTGCAGCCCCTCATCACCTTGGAGAGCAGCATCTCATACATCTTCACTGTGGAGGGGATGAACACTGTCACTGTGCAAGTTGCTGCAGGCAATACCCTCATCCAAGACACCAAGGAGATCGCAGTGCATGGTACTCTCAACCTTTTACAGTTGGATCTCAGGGGGTATCTAGAGGTGAAGAACAGGCAGTCAGTCACTTCTGAACCAAAATGAACTGTCTGAACTCCAGTGCCTGGAGGAACCTCTGAAAACAAACTGTAAACAAAGTAGCTCAGATGTGTCATGATCACAAAACACAGAAGTGAATTGGATGGGGCAAGTAGCCAAATCTGTACTCTCAGCACTGTAGTAAAGTGGCTGGTGTCTCCTTTGTCTGTTGGTGTGTCAGTACACACTGACTGGAAACTCCTAAAACATAAAGAACACTTAAAGCTGTAACCAGACTGCCTTCCCTCTGCTTCCCAATGTGGAAAGTAGTCATAGTGGAATATTAAGGTGACCTGAATACAGCTGGTGTATCTCTTTGTACAGTGGCTGTATAAACAACAAGGGTCTGTAAAACAGGGGGCAGAAATGACTTTGTTGTTGGTATCTCTGCCCATCTTCCATGCCACAGCTGGAGGTCTGACTGTCTACTGGACTTCCCTGTGGGAAATGTTTGGTATGTTCTTGCCATATATATATGTCATGGGTTCCAAAAAGCACCCTTTGTCAGACCACAGAGCTTACCCTGTTTGGGGCTCAGTAAAGGCTGAGTGGAAGAGCTCTCTCAGCAATTTTGGCAAGGACTTTGGGGTTTCTCCAGAGAATAATTTCCTCCCGGGGCTTGTCTGTATTTTCCTTATCCAGTTATTGGCATCCAGCATTTGAAGGCAAGCTTTTCTTTGGATAGCAGGTTTTCTTGAGAGACCTGGGCTTCAAATAACTCAGATTGTGCTGTGTAGTTGAACTATCTGTGTCTGGTTTCAGTAATTAAATATAAATAAATGTCCTTCTAGTGTCTCGAAAGCTGTATGCTCAGGTTTAACAACCAGCTAAATAGATATTTATTGATTGCCTGCCTGTGAAATGCAATGGGGTTTAATAATTTGTTAATATGACTTAGTAATATCCAAACTCATTATTAGCAAATGTAAGTAGCTCTTTTCTTGATCATTTTGAACATTGCAGTGTTTACTTCTGGGAAACATGCATCTTTCCACTAGTTTCTGGAACAAATCTTAATCAAGCATATCTGAGGAGCATCCCTGCAGGTGATCAATGGCAGGCCCCAGTAGGTCGACAGAGCACTCCTCACTCTCTGTTTTTAAATGCCTTGTAAGAAATTTTGCCATTCTATTTGGGCTTTATCACAAAGAGAAATTAATCCAACTGTAATGTCCAAATAGTCCTGTGCAGCACCATGCTGCAGATTGACCAGGTCTAAGGAAGGAGTCCCTCCAGACCCCCGCTCTGAATGGTCAGATCAAGTCTGAGTATGCAAACGAGTGACACCCTTGGTAAACATATACTCTACTAAATCAATGTCCTAATCTTTGTCCCATGTTATTATGGCTGTAGGTAGGAAAGCATGACTTTCTGGTGTTAGCAGTGGAGGAGATTTAATCAAGGTTTTCTCAAATTGTGATTAACAGACCAGAATTTGCTCTAAAAAGAAATTGGACATGGTACTGAGGGTTCAAAAGCCAAAGGCATTATATATATCAGGCTCTGGGTTAAGCCTTCAGAACTTGAGAAATTTTTCCTTCTCTCCTTGATTTTTATTTGAAAATATACTGCACCATCTAACAAGAAAGAACAGATCTTGCAGAAGATACAACATAAACGCTGTGCTGGCACATCCCTGCTAGTCTGTGGATTTCCTCTTTAATACTTTTGCTGGTTTATCTTGATCTAAAACTGGTAACTTCCTGCAAATGATTAATGGTACTTAATTGAAGTGTCTGGAGATCAGATGCTTCAAGGGGAGGCACAGCACATCTCCAAAAAAGAAAGGAGAGAACTTATATTTGAATGTGATTCCTAGCCTGGATCTGCGCTAACCACTGGCCCAAATCCATTGTGCAATCCAAGTTGTTGTAAGGATTCCAAATGTCTTGGTCTCTGGTGACACCAGAAGGGAGAGTTGGAATTGGAAAAAAAGAATTAAATTATTCTGTATTTGAAGTCTAGGAAGTTTTTCTTCCTCCCTGCAATCAGTCAATTAGGAAGTAATTTCAAAGCGTTTCATGAATAGCCATTGCTTGATTAGCCAGTCATTAGCACCACTGGGTTCTGATTTGTTGGGGTATTAACCACTCACGGCTTCCCTCTAGGAGTGCAAACAGATAATACCTGCTTTTGAAAACATTACTTACAGTAAGTGTTTGTTCTGCAGAGCACAATACATGCAATTGCATAGACCTTCCATATTTCAGCCAGATGCTGCCACCTTTACTGGTCAACTTCCTCGTAAGCACAATCTGATGAAGTTGGGTGGCAAAGTTACAAAGCCCAGAAGTATTGTGAAGGGAAAGCAGAGTCTCATTCTTGCTTCCATTTCTTCTGCAAAAAGCTACAAATTGGCACTAGAGCAGAATGTCCTTTATAAGAACTGTTATAAGAATTATTTTCTTGCAAGCTTTCTGTCCTGCTTAGTGTTAGCCAGCCCTTTTTCTTCTTTCAGCCTTTCCTGTCCCTCTTGCTTCAAGATAATTTAATTATGGTCTTCCTGTTGTCTTCTTCACCTTTGACTGTGCCCTGAACACTGCCCATTTAATCTTCCCATAAATACTGTTTTTCTCTTCCAGAGTATTTCCAATCTCAGCTCCTGTCATTTTCTCCCAACTTGGACTACCATAACCCTGACATCCCTGAATGGAGACAAGACGTTGGCAAAGTCATCAAGAGAGCTCTAGCACAGGTGAGCATCTGTTTCTTCATGTGTGCTAATATTGAGTAGGCAGTTAAAACATGCACTTTTCCAACATGCTAGCTTAGAAGAATGGGAAAGAACAGCCATAATGAAGCTATCATTCTAAATCGATAAAAAGCTTCTTAATATTCTGGATCTTTTTACAGAGGCAAACTATGTTGGGAATTTTGTGGAGATATTATAATTGCTTTTATTAATGTTTCTGCTGTGCTTTTTAACTTACAATATCCCTGGGGACTTTACAAATCCTAGTTTGTAATAGTATCATTATTCTTATTTTGCCAAATTGATATTGCAGTATCTACTGTTTTCTGCTCCAAAGTTTGGGTAGTGTTACTGTGTGTTGTTAAACAGCTGATCCAAGTCATCCCAGAAGACAGACACTGTACTATGTTGGATGCAGACAGAAGATATTTCTACCTCTTCCTGATACTCGATCAGGAGTTTCACATGCATCTAAATGTAGCAACTAGTGAATGTTACAAAGCACTATTCCCTTTCCAACTGGCAAAAAAAAAGGAGGATTCAGGGGGAAAATAAGCTTACCTTTAAAATACATGACAAAGAGAGTCTTCTGTGGGTGGAAGATACAGAATCTTCCTTTGGGATTAATTAGAATATGTAAACCAGCACTCATATTCTTGCAGGAAAGGAGACAGAATAATTTATGATATCAAATAGCCAGGGATTTTGGTTTTGTGTGAGATCAGGAGATAGATTTAGGCAAGCTTTTGTGTTCTTTACATTCTGCCAAAAATGTATCTTGCTTTTCTTTTCATATTTTTTTTCCTTCAGCTACAGCTGTTCTTAGAAATGGAGGCTGATTAATTTTACCAGGAAAGTA